ATATCAAATATGCGGCTTGGTTTCGTCCGTCTAATGCCAAGCGGATAGTTAATTAGTAAATGATATGGCTTGGGGTGAGGCATTGTGGAATGATTTGGTTCGGCTACCGATCGGCCATCAATATAATACATGTTTAATTGTTACGTATACTCACTGCAATACTAAGCCAATAGCGATAATTTCCAGTTGATGTTTGTACTGCAGGATTATAGATATCGATCAAAACATTAAGCCTCCACAATCAAATTAGGTGGAAGTTTGTGGTTGAAAATTCATTAATATTATGTATTAATGTGATGTGAATCCATGTAGTACTTTACTGATAAATTGCAAAAGAAAATCTCTTGTTGTGTTGTAAAATAACCTCAATATTTGGAAGATAGAGTTTGGTTTGTAGTATAAAACTTTAAATTATAACATTACCGACTAAATATAAGTTAAAAGCTATCTGAAGCAGATGACATGACAGATTAGGTTAAGATATTAATTGTTCTATCTTTACAGTTATGGAAAGTCAACATTGGCATATTTGCATTAATAGTTGGACCAACTTTGGAGTATTGTTTTATCTCACGATTAATATTGTTGGTATTTGATGTTTCAGTTTCAAATACACGTCTGTGACGAAACTTCTTCGTGGTGATATTACCTCCTGCATCCACAGCAACAGTTGAAGAAGATCCGTTGAAACTTCGACCAGAGAAATTCTCCGGATGTGGAAGGTTTAAAAAACGTGCAATACCGATTCCCATTTTATGAAACGTGTGTGTACCAATTCTAGAATTTCTAAACCTACCCATCCTGTATTCTTGATGTTGGGCTATCATGTAGGGGAGCTATATATTTTTTGCATATATTATAACATTTATCTGATATAATAAACTTTCAATGCTGTCTTGTCCTGGAATTACAAACAGTGAACACAAAAGCAGTTCCAATATCTTGTATGTGACCAATTCTCAGCCAGTATAATTCATTTGTTTGGCAAGCACCAATTACTCCAAGGATTAGAGCAACCTATAAATAAAATTACCTTTTATCTTCTATGAAGATACGCCTATCACTTACTTTTGATGGGAGATACTTGTCATCTGGTGCATTATCTAAAAACTCTTGTATATTGTTCAGTGTGAACAAATAAGTCTTTTTAGGCTGGAAATCTTGTGATCTTCGCTGTAAGAAAGCTAAGAGTGTGGAATACTTCTCTATGTTGATCTTTTCATGTATATTCAAGGTGGTTTTCTGCATGGAAAAATGTGTCCACAGTGATGTAGGTGTATATTATGTGGATAATAATTTAAAGTAATCCAGCAGAGCTGATTCTGAGGCTGATGTAGTTCATTTGTCAACTCTCCAATTATTGAATGATTCATATGAGCTTAAATATACTTTCCTGGATTTTTCTGGTAAGATATTCATTGATACATGTGATGATTGCATTATTTGAGCCTTGTTACATGTTATCACTTCACATATTGTACAATTACTTACGCGGTTTTACCTTAAGATGCAAATTCACTTAATTTTAATTTATTGGATCTATATATTGATAGGTTATGGCGCGTTTTCAAATCTTCAACTCTGGACGCTTTGAACCGCTCAGCTGTTAAAGAATTACTACAACTTAAGTTGTTGGATTGAAGTCCAAACATGTAAAAATGTAGATTGTATCATTATTAAAATAGGTACTCATACCTAGATATTCATACTGTTGCTTCTTATACTGTTAAAAAGTAACTAGATGTAAAATTCAGATTATTTCCCTTTCTCTGCTTAAAAAAATATTCAAAATTAATATTTAGCTCTATAAACGTGATGTTAACTCCACCATATTGTCACCACATACCTATTTGTCGTGCCTTCGCATAGTTTATGAAAGTTCCAACCAGTTAAATTGCTTCGCTCGCATCTTCAACAGATTCTCATCAGTATATCAGTAATATTGCATGCCGTGGGCTGAAATTATCCCATTGCTGAGATTGCCTGGCATACTCGCAAGCAAGAGGCAGCAATTAGAACTCTCTCGGCTAATTGTGTTATACTGTCCTCAGCTTCTACAAACACGCACCACATTAATGCGTTAGAGAGACATCCTTTCATTAGGTTTGTCCTCCCATTGCACATACACCGAGTTTCATAATGTTTGGGTTTTGGGTTTCTCTCTTATTGCATGTATGTAATTTCAAGCAATTTTACTCTTATTTCTTAATTTCAATTTAAAGCTAATAATTGGCTTTAGTATCCAGAGAAATTTATACGTAACAGATAAATTTGTCAAATAGAAAATGAAATTTTAATGTATTTCAAGTTTTTACTTGATTTTTTGCTCAATTTAAGAACAATTTGTTCTACAACATCAAAACGGCTAAAATTGATCAAGTTTAAAACTTAGTGTTTATTATCTGAAGCCTCAGTTGAATGATGTTGGCAAAACCGTCAATTTTGATTTTTTTGTTACTCAATTTCTGAAGTTTTGCATGTTGTACACAACCAAATGAAATCAAAACTTCTCAACAACAAACTAAGCTTAAGCTGAACGAGTATTGGATAAATCACTTTCCTACAGCTTGTAATACTTACGAGTAGAAGGAAGCTGATAGTGTGCTGTTTAATTAAAAGTTTTCTTATACATTACAAAGAAACAAAACTTTAAGATGGTAAAACATATTAAACTAAAAAATATACATAATATCAAACGTTTTATTGATAATTATTTGATGGTATTTGTTTATTTTAAACAATTAAATTGTGTAAACCATAAATATTTGCGTTAACTAAGAACGCAAGGATAAATCGGACAAATGCAATAAAATAAGGAGCAAGTAAATGACGCAAATAAATTCTGGTAATCCGGGTAATCCGAGATGCTTACGATAAACCCAACCCAAATGAGTAAGGTTTGTGCTTATTTCGTATGGTTGTACAGTAGAATCCGTTTATTATGACTCCGCTTATATTGACCAACCGGTTATTATGACGTACCTACACTACCAAGTTTGGTTTTCATATAAAATTCTGTATAAAAAAGTCGGATATAATGACTTCGCTTACAGTGACATGTCGCTTATTATGACCCATTTTTAACAGATTATGTCCGATTATATTGACCAACATGATTCTTTACACCTCCGGTAATGTTCGTTGATACCCGACGACGTTCGACACGTGGCGAACTTTTTATATTTATTGCTACATTTCTTTTATGATTGTCAAATTACTTTTATGTATTTACTATCGGAAAGACCAAATGCTTAAATAATAAATATAAGCATTCGGGCAGCAGTACCTTGACCACGACTTAATCCGTATTTTCCATTAATCCGAATTTGGCGTGGGTCATTCGACAATCTCAATGCTTTTTAAAAAACAAGAACCGCATTAAGCAATCGTTCAATTCAAATGTTTTGAAACCGAAGAGGCTTCGAAAATCACAAGAAAATTAATTAAATGAAAAAACAAAAGCAGACAAAAATTACAGATTACTTGAAGTAAAAAATACACTTGTATGTGTTATAATGTGCTGATTATGTGCAATTTTGATTTTGATTTAATATGTATGTATATGTACATATTTACATAAAAAAGGGATTTCATTTCACAAAACGCTTTGTATGACGTCCGCTTATTATGACGTGTTTGTCAATTCCCTTCGATGTCATTATAACCGGACTCTACTGTATATGGAAGAAATTTATGCAAATGTCAACAGCACCATCGCGCAATTCAAGTAAGAAAACCCGATGAAATACGCAAAGAAATAAATGGGCGCAATATTTTTCAATAAATCGCAAATTTAACCGAATAAACACAAAACTAATTTTTCCAGAGCATAATAAATTTAAAAGTGTGATTGTAAGTTACCCAACAATTCAATAATTTTTGTTAATAAATCAAGAATTCGCAGAAATATTGATTTTTTATTGCATAGATTTATAATTGTTTACAAAATATTGATAAACTATTTAAATACGATATATTACTATAATGTTATCACTATAATTGTTTTAATATGTTATTTTAGATATTAATCATTATTCCAGGGTCCAGATAAACAGAAAGTGCAAAGTTTAGTAACTTTAAAATTATCCTGTTTGAAAGTATGAATGGAAAATGTAAAATATATCTCCTGGAGGTGAAAGTTTTGTTCCGTTGTCAAATAGTACACGTATTTTCTATGTTAAGGTTGCGAGAGAAAAAAGAGCCGAATCGTGAAAGCTTTCAAGAACCATGGCTTCACGTGCTTAACATACGCAAGCGGAAAATCTGATAAAGTTCATTCGTACTGGGATTATGTGTTTCGCGCAAACTGAATAACAAATAACAAGCACATTCAACATACTCGAATGAAACTCGTCCAAGCACTTAAAATCTGTCACCACGAACAATTAACATTACTTTTACAAGTAATTATTGTTTTATAAAAAGTGATTTTGTATATCTAAAAACTACGATGAGTTTCATGGTATTTTCTTTGCTTCCATATTAAATATCAACTAAAATAGCAAGCTGTTCAATGTTCTCTTGTTTTATTTAAAACTGTAAGCGTTGACCAGACGGTTTTAAAAATCTACAAGTAATAATTACGCATTATAAAAATATCTTCGTATAGATATCAGTTAAATTGTATACATTTCCCATCAGAACATGGTTCACTCCTGTTATACCACCAGCAAGAACTTGCAGAGGATGCTGGGCTTTCATCAATAAAAATTTCATATCCTTCGAAATTTTAACGTCTTTGAAAGGCATGGATATAAAAATAGTATAGTGTAATTTCTCAGTCTAAAACGTAGAAAATCATTGAATGATACAATTATTTATAATTATGATTATGTATTATACATATGTTGTTAAACGTTCGCCACTAGCACAGGTTAAAATGACGATAATAATGTATGACAAAATATGCACCACTGAAGACAAAATCAAATCCTTAAAAAATAAAATAAAAATTTATATTAATAAACAATTTTTTTTTAATATTAGTAGTGTGTATACCTTACTCAGTAGTTGAAATGCAATCACACTCATATTTATAGGTGTAACACACAAATGTAAGGCATATGCTTTTCCAATTGCATGGTTAGACTTTACGTTTATTCTGTAATATCAAAATTAACTATAATACCAATAATAATATGAAATAAATCAATACTTACTCCATTAAAATATTGTGATATCGCACAATTCTTCCAATTAACGCACGTCTTTCCCACTTTTTAACCTTGGGAATGCGTTGAACAATACTCTCCAAATGACTATACCTTAGAATTAACACTTCATTAAGGAATACAAACTGCGAAATATTACACATGGCAATTGCCCCTGCTGTATAAGAACTAAGACATTGACAAACCAACGCAATTGATCGCCATGGCTGATTATAAATATCAATATAAGGCAAATAGGGCGTAAAAATAAATCCACAATTACTGACTTCATCCGGCTCGCACTGATCAGTGATATAAAATACAAATGTAATCAAACATGTTACCACAAAACTCAGTATACATAAATAGATGTATTTTGTGAATAATTTGTCCAATGCTTCAACATTTCTCGCTCTTCCTAAATCAGGATCTTGAAAATCGCCTAGTTTTTTACAAATCTCATCCAATTCAGGGGAAAATGTTGTGAAATGTATGAAAATATAGGTGATTGTTTCGGTTGTTAATATAACTGCAATGTCATCAGCCACATCAAAGAATGAGAACGGATTATTACCTAAAAATAAATAAAATTTATATAAATAAATATTTTATTTTAAAAAATATTTATATACATAAATAGTGTATTATATGTCCAATTTGTCCAAAACAAAGCATATGGACGAAACACATAATTGGTATTATTTTTATATACGTAAATGTATTAATTTTATTCGGTCTTAGACCAACTGGTGCGAGAAAATTCTTTGCTGTTTGATTAAGATGAAGTTTATTGACGCCGGTGTCATAACATTTAAAAAAATTGCAGATTTTTTCAACCGGAATTTCCATTTTGATGTTTATAACTATATAATGAATTTATTAAGTGAAAAGTACGCGTGGTGAAGCTCAACTGATAAATATAAATCGTTGGAAGTATAAGAATATTAAGTATAAAGAATAAATAACAGAGCATATTATAAAATTGTGTAATTGCATCTCATTTGTCTTTCACTTATTCACTTATAAGTAAGTGGCGACACACATACACAAACAGATGTCACATGAAACACGTGGTTGGAGTGGGTGTTCTTGTTGCTTACAATAATAATCCTGCGGCCTCGAAAATTTCTTGAGATGTGCGCAGGAATCGCATGGCAATTTAACACCTGACACTTTACTTCCTTTTATAAATTTAGTCGCAATATTAACTTTTAGACAATTAGCTTCGTATTATTTTATTCAGTCAAGTAATTTGGTAATTATCTTCATATTTTCTAATATTTTGCATCTTTTGATTATTACTGAGTCTAGCTAATGTCAATATATTTTCCTATATACTCCTATACATGAAAGTTTCTTTAACTTTACAAAGTTGTAAACTCTGACGCAAAAAATGCGCAAACACAAAGTTAAGAACGCTGCAAAGTTGATTTTGCAATTAAAAATTAAATTGAATTTGAATTGAAAAGAAGCAGAACTTGAATGGAGCATGCAGAGAGCGAAGTACGTATACTTCAAGTCCAATTTCATCTAGATTAAACAACCCACAACGGGGATTCTAAGCGTTTTGTTTCTAAATCGATTTGGTGCGTGGACTTTTCAGCCATTCGGCGTTCGTTTGTGAAGACATCGGCCGAATAACCATCTTAAAGTAGGCGCAATGTTTGTACTTAGATGCCGTAATGGTGATTGAAACTCGGAGAGGAAGGGGCGCGCAATTCCCACGTTGCTTATTACTTTTGATGTTGCGATTTTGTCTTTTAGGGTGAAAATTATTAAAAAATTGTTAAAATTCGTGGATTTTTTCAATGTAAAGTGAAGGAAAAATACGTATATCCTAAAAACACGTATTAAAACATTATCAGCGCTTTCCTTATCTTTATTTTGATTAAATTGCGTTAAATTTGATTTTTTTTTTTTTAGTTTTTAGCTTTTTTTAACCATTTTTTCATTTATTTTTCACATTTTCTTTAAATAAATCTTATTATTCACTATAAATATTTAATTTTCACATATTTGACAAATCACTGGTCTAGTTTTTAATAATTTACGTTATTCCCATGTAAATATTAACATTTAAAAATTATATCAACCAAATCCAGTTATTACTGATTGTTTTATTGGCTAGTCGTCCATATAATTACAAATCCGAATATAAAACCATAAATAAATTGCCTATTTAGACGGTCCGTGTGCGTTGTTTTGAAATCACTTGATTGGAATGACCGAATTTTAATTAATTTAATTGCGCTGTTTACGCTCCGTGTTAATTAATTTAATTTATTCGTTGTGTTATATTCGACTAATTACTCGAGTTCAAAGTTGAATGGAATTAGTATGACTTGCAAAATATCACTTGAGCTTAAATAAACAGGACATTTACACTTTCATAATTTGCGCGTTTGCATTTGAAAGGTAATATCAGTAAATTATGAATTTAATTACGCCGGAAAACTTCTAGGTTCTAGAGTTCGGAAAATTAAAGTCGTTTTTATTCAGAAATTCCAAAGAGAATTGCTTGTTAACTGGTTCAATCTCGAGTTTCAATTTTTGTTTCAACTTCTAGAGTTTGCAGAAGTGGGTTTTCCAATAATCATTTACATACTAGTAATTTATTTGAGTAACATAATCATATGTTAAAAAATAAAATATAATCTTCTCTAAAGCTTTGTCTGTTTTTTATTCTATAGGGTAGATGAAGACATGACGTAAGAAAATGGCAAAAGGAAGGTTACAATAACAAGCTTGAAGATGTTCGTCTGCAGCATTCACTTTTGGTTCATTTGTACTCGACTCCGAATGTTTTCGTTACTTTCGTAGATTTGTGCCGCTTTGTCAGCGTTTTCAGCGAGTCATCACTTCAATTTTCTTCTTTTGCTCACGCTTCGCTAAAGTAAAAGTGCTTGTCTTTTATATCAATGTTCCACTCAATTCTGCACAGTCATATTATGAACTATATTATTTGTTCCCCGTAAATTTATTGATTTATTTTCCTTTTTTCCGCGTTGTTTAATTTCTGAATGCAAAATAAAAAGAGGAGGTAATTAAATGGCGTGAATAAATTGTACGTAATCCAAGATCAGTGAGATAAACCCAGTCCAAATGAGTTAGATTTGTGCTTACTTAAAACACGTTGGTGTACGTGAGTAATTTATGCAAGCGCCAGCGATACAACAGTGTGTAGCGCGTCTCAAAGAAGAAATGAGTGTAGCATTCGGATGTCTTACATTACCCTCGGCAGTGGGTGTGCAATAATTAAGCACTAAGCGTGCAGTAGCTTTAATTACCTTATGTTTCGGTTAATGACTGTGGATCTACCGATACTTTAACAGCCAAGCTGTAAAAATGCAATGAAATTTATTTATTTATGTGTATTTTTATATATTCGTGGTATTTTTTAAATAAAATAAAAGGAACTAGTGGTAAAAAGTGAAAATAAATGTTTTGTACTTTTTGTACGATTGTACGATTTTTAAAAACGTAAAATATTTTGTTTTTCAGTTTGTATTGTAATGGATGAATAATAAAACTTGGAAAAATAGATTATCTATTGTGTTATTTAAATAATTTGTGAATAACACAATTTATGGCTTTGAAATTTTGAAAATTAACATTTATTGATTTATTTATGCGTAATAAACAAAGGTAACATACTGCTACTGCTCTAGTAGTAGACTGGACGTGTCAATGAATTATGAATACAAAAAACACGCACGATTTTGGGTGTTTACCGGATAGAATACAAATGCGTGAATTTGGTACAGTGTTTTGTTACTCCTGCGGGAAGAGTGAAAACCGTATAATTCCGAATCCACACACAGCAATACAAGCTAGCAAAGCAAATCAATAACTTTACAATTTTATTTCTAGGTTTTTTTTTCTATTTTATATAAAACTAAGAAAAATACGTGCATTTGAAACTAATTATTTATCAAAGTTTTTATTTCTAACTGACTTAAAATATGTTTTATTTCTTTGGTTTTAAATTTAATTTTTTCAAAAACAAACAAAGCCGAAAGAAATTTGCAAAATATTTTTGTATAAAAACTTGTAGAAGGATTAATATAATTAGCATATATTTTTACTTGGGTGTCACCGAAATATCATAAGGAAATATCAGAAATATAATTATCTTTTTGCAAAACAAAATTAATTTGCATTAAAATAAGTTGTGGTTGCAACCGCTGCACAATTGATCGAGAAAAACAACTTGAATATAAATGAGTGTAAAGATGCACGAGTTCTTTTAGGTAATAAATTTTGTGGTTACTATTTCTCCCTGCTTGATATATTGAAACAAAAGGCCTCCGAAACTTTTTCCTTTTCCTTGCCAGACAAAAACGCTTTCTTTCTGCAATTTATTACTTCCTGAGAATCACTTCGAAAGAAATACATCATCCAATTATAGCGCTAAAGAATACCATAAAGGATTTTAAGTTTTTTTTTGTCTGTTTATATTTAAATAAATTTCACACTAGAGAAATTAATATTTAATAATTAATACCTTTGAGTCTAATCTAGTATAGATAGATGTATTATGTATTAAATAGACTATTAGCATTTAGCAAAATCGCTACACTTGCAATTTACACTGCAAATAAACATTACTTTACCCTAGATCATAGAGATTACAAATACTGAATGTGTTTGGTGGGTTTGTTTACTCTAAATGCATTCCTGCAAATAATTTATGTGCTACCTAATTCAGACATGGATAAAACACACATGCTTTAGAGGAAAAGGGTAAATTTATAAAACAAATACTTGCTTACAACCACAAAAATACTCAAATGTTGAAAACAAAACGAAAACATTCAAATGCTTCATATGGTCGGCAAATACATATGTCACTAGAAAAGGCCTATTTATCATCCTTTATAAAGGGAGACAACGTATAGATCAATGTCACAATATTATGAGATATTACGTGTTGGTCGAGCAAATTTGCGGTGGAGTTTCACAATATTTGGGCAAACATCAATTTCAATTAATTTACAAATTTGCATGCATTTTAGTAATTATTTGTTAATATAGATATTTCATACATATTCAAATATTTTTGTTAATTTTAATTTATTTAAAATTTTGTGAATCATCAAAATCATAAATCAATTTTGTACTTGTTGCGCAGTAGCTGTCGTGTTGTTACATGCAAAATATGATTCAACTTGGTTAAGTTTTTATTTTAATAGAAAAATAAATATTTATTCCTTGAATGAAAGATACAAAATATTCTTCTAACGTTAAAATATACTGCTGTATCTAATACATCACAAGCAAAATATATGTTAAATTATTCCAAGATTTTCTGCGATTCAACTTGGTGTTTTATATAAAATTATGATTTTAATTTATTTGCATTTATAATTTCTATCATTTGCATTTCGTAAAAGGCAAATTACAAATTTCTTAAAGTTCTTCTTCTTTCAGTCTTGTGATGTGATTCAGACTTCCATGAAAAACATTTTATAAAAATTCCAATTTTCCAAGTTTGCAAATTCTCACCTGGTACTATAACAGCTGCTAAAATTCCCAAAATCCAAGAAACGAATAATTTTTACATTAAAAACTCATTGATTAACACAGCATTTTTATGTAAACAATAAAATTAATTTAAATCGTTGTTTTGTTATTATGCTATAAACATAGAAACTAGAAGATTCAACAAATAAAACAGGTATCGAGATATCATGAAGATAAGACACCTGCGTTGGATATGCGTTAATAAAATACTAAAACAGGATTCCTGGCGGCATCTACACGCCAACGGAACGGGTAAATATTTAAATCAATACACCCGCACATTATTTCAAACACTCAAATACTGTGCAGTAACGATCTCTTGT